TCAGATTCTGTGTCTCCCTCTCTCTGCCCCTTCCCCGCTCATGCTCTGTCTCTCAAAAATGAATAAACGTTAAAAATTAAAAAAAAAAAAAAAAGCTGGTTTTCAGTTTCCTCCTTATTTTTGGCCTCTGAGTATTCTACATTTTTTTTCTGCTCAGCCAGCAATGCATTTTGAGTATTTTTATAAAAGTATTTCAATCTGCAGGTCTTGGTGTTTTGTTACAGGATTTTTAGGCTTATTATATGACATGAGATATGAAATATTACAGGAAACAAACTCAAAAGTTTTAACTTTTCAAATCTAAAAATATCTCCTGTGAAATAATATTTATATACACCTATCATATTGGAATGAGAATGAGGAATCATGTTCTAGTCCTGACTTTGCTATTTGTAACCTTGGGGAAAATATGCTAATGTTTCTCAAACTATCTTATTATTTTTAAACATTTTCTTTTTTTAAGATTTTTTTTTAAATAATCTCTACGCACAACATGGGGCTCAAACTCATGACCCCAAGATCTAGAGTAGCATGCTTTTCCAACTGAGCCAGCCAGGTGCCCTTCAAATTACCTTATTATCTTCAAATTAGAACACTGGATCAAGGGATCTCGGAGATTTCCTCAAGTTTTAATGTTAAATGAGTCTATGAAGTAAAAATGGCATTGGTGAAGACTCAAGATGTAACAATACTCATTATATTCCTAGTACTGCCATTTACTACGGATCTTTCACTACACTTGGTCAAGTCTTAAATTGTCCTTCTGTTGACCCAGGTCTTTAGCTGTTTGTTTGTTTTTTTTTTCAATTGCAGTTACCACCCCCCTACCCCTGCCACACACACGCACAAAATTTACCTTCTTAATCATTTTTAACTTTACAGTTCAGTAATTTTAGGTATATTAATACTGTTGAATAATGTTGACTTTGAAACTTCAGGGTGTAGATCATTTATTGGTAAAGAACATATCTATTTCTACCATGCCTAGATGAGTAAGAACAAGAAATTACTCATCTCTTCTCCCTTTCTTTCCCTTGATACAGTGGCTGGAACATTATATCAAGGGAGAAATGCTACAACTTAAAATCATCTAACTAAGAATTTCTTATTCAAAGTTTTCATATTGCTATGGCCTGAATGTTGGTGTCCCCTCAAAATTCATATGCTGAAATCCTAATGCCCAATGTGATGTCGCACACATATGTGGAGTATTCATGAATAGGATTAGTGCCCTTAAAAAAAGAGATACCACAGAGTTCTCTGGCCCCTTCCACCATATGAAGATATATCAAGAAGTTGCCAGCTATGAACCAGGAAAAGGGGCCTCACCAGAACACAACCATGCTCACTCATGCCTTCATCTTGGATTTCCCAGCCTCCAGAACTGTGAGAAATAAATTCCTGTTGTTTATCAGATATCCAGACTGTGGTAGTGTTACAGCAGCACAAATGGACTGAAACACCTATTTTTTTCTTGAGCCCTTCTAATTAACTCACAATTTTGGAGGTTTATGAACCACATATAGATATATGTTCGAATTTTGCAGTGTAAGCATAAAGAAAGACTTTTTGGTAAAATATTAGAAGGTTTAATCATCTTTCTCAAGGGCCTCTTTGATATCGAAGTAATATTCTTTTGAAATGTCTTTGTTATCGTCATCTATGCTTCTTCTCTTTTTGTTGTTTTTGTTTTTTAATATTTATTTATTTCTGAGACAGAGAGAGACTGAGCATGAGTGGGGGAGGGGCAGAGAGAAAAGGGAGACACAGAATCAGAAGCAGGCTCCAGGCTCTGAGCTGTCAGCACAGAGCCCAATGCAGGGCTCGAACCCACAGACCGCGAGATCATGACCTGAGCTGAAGTTGGACGCTCAACCGACTGAGCCACCCAGGCACCCCCTCTTTTTGTTTTAATAGGCTTAATTTTGCTAGATCCTTTTTTATTTTTTATATTGGCTTCAGGAATTCCCAAGTATTTCCCAAGACTTTGAATTTCACTTTGCAGTGATTAGTATTACAGTGTTAGATGTTTATAACACCAGCACCTAGACAAGGACGTCATTGCAATGGCCTCAGACAACAGCTATTGTTACCTGGGAAAAGGGATGTTTAAGGATATCTAATTTTGTGAAGCATCTAATTCACTAAAACATATTTAAAAAAATTTTTTTTTGATGTTTATTTATTTTTGAGAGAGACAGAGACAGAATGTGAGTGGGTTGGGGCAGAGAGAGAGGGAGGCACAGAATCTGAAGCAGGCTGCAGGCTCCAAGCTGTCAGCACAGAGCCTGACGCAGGGCTCGAACTCATGAGCTGTGAGATCATGACCTGAGCTGAAGTCGGACGCTCAACCGACTGAGCCACCCAGGTGCCCCATTAAAACATATTTTTATGTCATGATTTTTTCTGCTTCACTATGCATTACAAACATGGTGGTGAGGTTAAAAAATAAATACTCAGAAACTGAAGACCCCTCTTCCTTTGTTAGTCACAAGAGTATTCCTTCAACCAGATGATCTCTTTCATTAAAATAAAAATTTAGGGGTGCCTGAGTGGCTCAGTGGGTTGAGCATCTGACTTTGGCTCAGGTCATGATCTCACCGTTCATGAGTTTGAGCTTCGTATTAAGCTCTGAGCTGACTCAGAGCCTGGAGCCTGCTTTGGATTCTGTATCTCCCTCTCTCTCTGCCCCTACCCCACTCACACTCTCTCTGTCTCTATCAAAAATAAATAAATATTAAATATTTTTAAAAAATAATAAATAAAATAAAAATTCTGGGGCACCTGGATGGCTCAGTCAGTTAAGCGTCTGACTCTTGATCTCAGCTTAGGTCTTGACCTCAGAGTTGTGAGTTTAGGCCCTGCACTGGGCTCCATGCTGCGTGTGGAGCCTACTTAAAAAAATAAATAAATAAAAAATAAAAAATTTACTTCTTGTTTTGTCTTACCACTTGATTTTTAAAGATCAAGATCTTAAATTAGTAGACTTCTGGAAGAGTAAGTATTACACAACTAGTTATTTCAGTTGGGGAATACATCCAACTTCTCTGGTAGTTGTAAAAAGAAAAAGTAAGCTTGGTTGAAATTTCCAATCGCCATTGATTTTAGAAACAATTTTGAAAAGAGTTTAAGTATAACAGATGTATTTCATCAGTTCCAAGAAGCAAATTTTTTTCCTATGTTTAAAAATTTCTAGGGAGCACCTGGGTGGCTCCGTTGGTTGAGTGTCTGACTTCAGTTTAGGTCATGATCTCACAGCCTGTGGGTTCGAACCCTGCATTGGGCTCTGTGCTGACAGCTCAGAGCCTGGAACCTGCTTTGGATTCTGTGTCTCCCTCTGTCTCTGCCCCTCCCCTGCTCACACTCTGTCTCTCTCTCCCTCAAAAATAAACATTAAAAAAAAAAAAAAAAAAAAAAGATTTCCAGTATCAGGATGCATGTTAAAAATTAAGAGTTACAATTTATATAAAGAGCAGTTTTTCTTTTTTTTGGCTGTACCTAAATAATATGCCTTACAGTCCATGGTGTTTGAAATTAGAATGTAGTCTAAAATTCTAATCTAATAGATTAGAATAAATCTAATAGCTATACTACCAAAATATTAAAATTAGCCAAAATACTAAAATGAAGCAATGCTTATGCAGAATCATGCAACGTTCAAGAGGATGCATTCCATCAATAACATTAATAGCAATCCACACATTCCTTCCTATGACCAAGTACTTGCTATCATAGGTGAGGACACTGAAGCAATGAGGTTAAATGACATAACCTCTCCAGATGTGTGAGGGCCAACATCTCACACACAGTGGATGAATTAGATGTTTTTCTTAGATATAAGGTTTCTGCCTGTTGGTAAACAGAAACAAGTGCTATTCTAGATGAAGGGTTTTATGAAAACATACTGCTAATTATTTGTATCTCTCAAAGAATAGTTATCTATTGCAAAGCAAACAGCCATATAGCTTTCCTCATTTAAACCCTTTGGTAGGCAGAATAATGAGCCCCCCAAAATGTTCACATCCTAATCTTGGAACCCATGAATATATTACTTTACCTGGCAAAGGAATTTGCTGATGTAATTGAGGGTACAGTCCTTCAAATGGGAAGATTATCCTGGATTATTCCGGTAGCCCCAATCTTGTAAGAGCTCTTAGGATCTAAGTATTTTACCCAGGATGTGACTATGGAAAGATCAGAGATGCAACAGCTCTGGCTTTGAAGATAGAAGGCAGGTGGCAGGAATGTGTAGAAAGGCAAAGAAAGGGATTCTGCTGGAGAGCCTCCAGGAAAGATGCAATCCAGCTGATTCCTCGATTTTAGCCTCAAGACACCCCAGTTAGACTTCTGACTTACAGAAGTGTACCATAATAAATTTGTCTTGTCCCTAATCCTTCTGGGCTGTTTTAAGCCACTAAAATTTGTGGTATAAATAAGCCGTATCCCTTAACTTGTGAGTAGCGTGCTGCTCTGATGATGCTTTTACAAACACAGCCCGAAAGTCGGCCTAGTGTTTTTCCATAATGTGTCACACAAACCACTATAACTAGACGGTACACGTAAAAACACTTTACCTTTTCATAGTATTTTTTAACCTTTGTCTTCTACTTCTGGCATGTGTTGCTGGTTTTGCACTCAGGTTACTTAGGACTGTATTTTATTTACTGTGTGACCCAAGAAAACGCGCTGAATGTACTCAGCCTCCCGTGGGTGATCCACCCGGCTGAGACAGCACTCCAGGAGGGAATCACTCGCCACCTCAGGTTCCAAGGCGTGTGCATACACGGGGAAGCACCAAACATAAACCGGCGGGCCACGATCGCGGAGCTGGTCTCCCGCTATAGGTCTGCCCTTAAAAGACCACGGTAGGTGTTAGCCCACATCGGTCTTCCGGCTTCCTTGTATCCCGCAAGCTCCGCGCGGGGAAGGAAAGCCATATTAAACTTCGCGATAATTGCAACTGTCGCGAACCTTTCACCGGCTTCCCGGAGCAAAGATGGCAGGCAGATTGCTCCGCCCTTGTGAACCAAGATTTTGTTATCGCGAGATCCCAATGACAGTTCAGGAGCCTGATCTCGCGGGATTTTCCGATTTAGGGTTGGAAATTGCTGGGGAAAGTAGAGACAGGGAGGGCCAACTGTGAGAGGGAGGGTGAGGGGTCCACTTGCTGGCTTGCAGTTCCCCCCTCCCCCACTGGCCGAATTCGAGACGACTAGGTGAGCGCCGCCTTGCCAGCCAACACAGCGCCCTCCGGCTCTGCCGCTGCCTCGGACGCCGCCATCCCTTCTCTCTAGGGCCCCACCTGTGCTCCCTTTTGTCCCGCGGCGTCGCACTTCACGGGGGCGATGTACGGAGGGCTGCAGGAAGTGGTCTTCCCGCCTGCCGCCTCCTCGGGGTCCTCGGCCTCCTGTTGGGTGTTCTACGCAACCAGGCCGCCCAGCCCCTCCCCTTGGCCAGATGGATGCCTCTGCCCCCAAGCCTCGCGCGGAAGCCGCCGGCAAAGGTACAACAAGCTCCGAGCTCACCTCTCCGCCCAGACACCTGTTTTTATTGCGCCGGGTTGGACCCATTCCTGCCAGTTCTCTTGGGGTTGGGGTTTTACCCGTGCCTCTTCTGAGTGGCTCCTGGAGTCTGGGACCAGTTCTTTGGGACTTGGTGTTGAGAACCTGGACTCTGGAGTCAGACTGGATCTAGTGCTGGCTCTGACAGTTGCTGAGAAACTTTGGGCAGTTTCCTCATCTGTAAAATTGAGATCATTGCTGAGTTCTTGTGATTACTAAATAAGATGGTGTATGCAAAGCACTTAACGTGACCCAGCTCTGGCCTATAGTAAGCACTCAATAAATATATGGTATGTTTATTCTTTATCCTTATATGCCCCAGTTCTTAGCGAATGGTAGAAATTTGTGACGTAGGTGACTAAAGGTTGAGATACTCAGTTCACTTTATTTCACAAAGAGCTTAATATATGATGTACTGAGTAAGAGCCTTACGGTCAATCTTTAATGGGCCATCAAGAGAGAGTTTAAAGAGGGTGTGGTTATCTGCTACAGGTCAAAAGGGATGCCTTCTTGCCCCCCAAATTAATAGCTTTCATTATTAAAAGTGATACAGTAAAAGCTATCAGATACTGAATGCTGTGCCCAGCAATATGCTGATTGTTTATCTACATGCTTTCCTTTGAGGAAGATATCGATCTTATTAAATAGATAAAGAATTCAGAGCAGAAGTTTAGAGGTCTATACAACAAGCCTCAACTCTGAATGCTGGGAATTGATGACGCTATAACTCAGGGATCACAAATATAAGCGCTCATAGAAGCCTGGCAGATGAACTAAGTAATGAAGCTGCTGAATGGAGCTTGTAGGGACTGGGATGCTCATCTCTCAGTTAAAAGGGGCAGGGACCATTCAGTTCCAGGGACTTGTTCGTCCATGTGTGAATGGTACTGGTGGTAGCTACAGGGTTAGATTGCTTGGTTCAAATCCAGGATCTGCCAGCTTTTAGATGTGTAACCATTGGCAAGCTGGTTGGCCTTTATCTGTTTCACCATTTGTAAGATGGAACTAACAATATTACTTACATGAACTAATGAAGGGGTGGTGGTGAGGCTTAAATGAACTACTGCATCTAAAGCACATGCCTGGCACACATCAGTCTTCACATGTTAGCTATATGTATTTGTTAATTCTATAGGTATTTGAGATTCAAACATTGTTCTGGGTGCCCAGGATATAGCAGTGAACAAAGTTAAGTCCTTGCTCTAGGGAACGAAGTTGAGATAAACAACAAACATTTCATATTTTTCTCTGAAAATGGAATTAAGCAGGGTAAAGTAAGAGTGGTGGCGAGTGTTAGGTTCAATGGTCAGAAAAAGCACCTCTTAGGAGATGTCATTTGAGCAGAGACCTGAATGCAGTGAATGAGTCAGTCATTTGGGTATTTTGGGAGAGTGCAGGTGGAAGGAACAGAAGGAGTGCTCTGGGGCCCTGAGGTGGGAGCATGCTTGCCATGGTTGAGGAACAGCGAGGAGGCCAGTTTGGAATGAAGGACAGGAGGAAACGAAGTTAAAGATGACTCTCCAATCCAACAGGAAATCCTCCCAGTTTAAACTATTTGTTTTAGAGTTTGATACAGAGAGATTCCAGCCTTCCCTCAAACTAACCAGGCACATTTGTTTATGTGTTTTCTGTCCCTGCTTTTGTGTTACAAGGGTAGGAGACAGTATAGTCTGCAAAACTAAAATAACAAATAGCTAAAATCTGACTCTACAGAAAAAGTTTGCCAACAGTTGTTTTAGAGAGGTGGTAGCATGATGAAGGAAAGTGATATATTTTGAGGTAGAACCAGCAGGACTTTCTGAGGTGGTGAATGTAGGGAGTAATATAAAAAGAGGAATAAGGACTGGCTGAATGTTTTCTACCATGACAAGTTGGCTAGGTGATGATGCCATTTAACGAGATTAGGAAAGACTAGTTCTGAGTAAGGTTTAATCATTATTTTTGACATTGGTTTTTTTCATTTTATACCTATTGTGTGGTACAGTATTTGGCAGATAATTGATGTTAAAACATACATTGAATAGTACACACATTAATGACTTAAGCCTAAAAATTAGAAAGCATTTTCTGGATAGGCAAACAAATCATGTGAAATAGAAATGTGTTAAGAATTGCTATAGGGGTTAATAGAGGTTTGAGGGCTCAAACAGTACTGTTATGAAAATAGAGCCCACAGATCTATCTGTTAGCCCTCTACGGTGGATCCAGGTTTTAGTTTCACGTTAAACTATGTTTTTAGAATTGTGTGACAATTCTCAAATTGTGCAGATCCAGAGATCAGAGTAGGAGAACAGATTTTTCTTGGTGTACTTCTGATTGTTATGTAAAACAACCTTACTAAAGTTGGTAGGAATAATGACTTTACTTTTGAGGAACAATCGATGAGGAATAGCTTAGTGAGCTATTCATGCTTAAGACAGTATAGATATACGAGTCATATTATAATCATGAATGTCATAAAAACCTAACAAGAAATCATTGGAAAGACCCTAAGAAACTACCAATAATCGTCTGATTTCAGTAAGAAATATTTGAGAGGGGTACTTGGGTGGCTCAGTCAGTTAAGCATCCAACTCCTTGATCTCAGCTCAGGTCTTAATTCTGCAATTAAGATGGTAAATTCAAGCCTGGCATTAGGCTCCACACTGGGTGTGAGGCCTACTTAAAAAAAAAAAAAAATTCCTATTATTCATACACTTGTAGCCATATAATTCCTCTGGAGTTCTTGTTATTAGAAATTCCATATAGAAAGGGGTCAGAATTTTCAAACAGTAATAGAATCTTAGCAGAAAGAGATCTTAGAATTCATCTCTTTTTTAAGAACTGGAACCCTTCAAAACCTAGAAGGGAAGAAAGCTGTGACAAAGCTGGCACACATAACTTTGTAGTTGAACTGGAGATTGCCTTGGTTAGTTGTATACAATTTCAAGCAATGGTGTAGAAGCAGCAATATTGACGATAAGAAGAAACAGCTGTCTCCAGAGAAAGGCGATGGGATAACTAAAAAAGCAGACACAAGAATCACAGAAGTGTTGCTGTCTAGAGGATTTTAGCTTACTCATTATCAAGTCCCGTTTACTATTAGTCTATCATATCATGAATAATATATATAATGTTCATGAATCATCATGAATATCTCAGTCAGTGGTTCTCAACCATGGCTGTGAATCAGAATCACCCTTTGAATTCAACAATATCTGCCAAAGTAATAAAACCAGATGCCCATGGCCCATATCCGCTAAACCACTGTGGTTTAGTGTTCAAGCATGTTTGAGGAGATTATGACAGACAGCCAGGATGAGAACAACTGGAAACAAATTATATACCCTTTATTCTGATTATTATAGGAGAATATCTGATAATATATTTTAGGAAGATATCTATATGTGTTATAACTTATTTTGTTTCAGTAATTTGGAAAGGGTATTTGTGTGAGTTATATATTTTTTTCTCATAGCAGTGGTTAAATGGGGGGTTACTTTATAAGTTATATTTGGAAATTTTATTTTCTTCTGTATTATTACAGACATATGGCATCCAGGAGAAAGATGTCTTGCCCCTTCTCCAGATAATGAGACACTTTGTGAAGCAAGCATAAAATCTGTCACAGTGGATGAAAATGGGAAATCATTTGCAATCATCTTATATTCAGATTTTCAAGAAAGGAAAATACCTCTTAAAAGAATTCATGAAGTTAAATCTGTTAAAGATTGCTCCAGGAATTTTATATTTGATGATGAAGATTTGGAAAAACCTTATTTCCCAGACCGAAAATTTCCATCATCTGCCGTTGCTTTTCCATTATCTGAAGACGGAGACTCTATTCCTTATACTATTAACAGGTATTTGAGAGACTACCAAAGGGAAGGAGCCCAGTTTCTCTATGCACACTTCATCCAAGGAAAAGGATGTATTCTTGGTGATGACATGGGACTTGGGAAAACAGTACAGGTATTTTTTAAAATTACTTTATAATTAAAATTCATTAAAGTCATTTTATTATGTCCATGAGTAGATACCATATACAATTCTTTATTTGTACTCCCAAATCTTATAATGGCTATTTTGTGTGTGCCTATGTTTCTCACACACTGAACAGGAAAATTCTCAAAGTTAGGATGGTGTTTAGTCATTATTTTATCCTCAGTACTTATTTAGTATCTATGAAATACATTATTGAAAATAATGCTTTGGTATAACTTGACTTGATTTTACCTTTGGTAATAGTGGTACTAAGATATCAGCTTATATTTAAAATAATTGAACTTTCTTAGCAATACTGTATGGAAAGAAGGTATTCTGACATTTGTTAAGTTACTAGCATAATTAAGTTGATTTTCTGCAGGACTTTTATGTATATTGTTTAGAGTTTATCATATCAGAAGTTTCTTGATCTGGGATCCCTGGACCACTAGGAGTTCTATTGGTGGACTTCAGAGAGGCTTCCTATTTCCCCATAATATGTGCCAGAATTTGTAAACTTCTATACTTTTCTTTTTTTTAATTAAAAACATTTTTTTTGTTTTTTTTTTAGTGTTTGTTCATTTTTGAGAGACAGAGAGACAGAGCAGGAACAGGGGAGGGGCAGAGAGAGAGGGAGACACAGAATCTGAAGCAGCTCCAGGCTCTGGCCTGTCAGCACAGAGTCTGACCTGGGGCCTGAACTCACGAGCCATGAGATCATGACCTGAGCTGAAGTTGGATGCCCAACTGACTGAGCCACCCAGGCACCCCTCTTTTATTATTTTTTTTAAGTTCATTTATTTTTTTTGAGAGAGGGTGTGAGCAGGGAAAGGGCAGAGAGAGGATCTCAAGCAGGCTCCGTGCTGCCAGCGTGGAGCCCCACACGGGGCTCAAACTCACAAGCCATGACATGACCTGAGCCGAAACCAAGAGTCAGACGCTCAACTGACTGAGCCCCCCAGGCGCCCCTACAGATGTACTTTTCTTCAGAGGGGATATATGCTAGTTATCTATTGCTGTGTAACAAGTTACTCCAAAATTTATCAGCGTACAGCAGTACACATTGATCATTACTTTCTGTGGGTCAGGAATTCAGGTATAGGTTAGCTGGGTCCTCTGGCTCCACCTCTCAGAAGGGAGCAGTCACCTCAAGGTTGGATTAGGGAGGATTCCCTTCCTGGCCACATGATTGTTGGCAGGATTCGGTTCACTGTGAACTATTTATTGGTGAAGGCTTCCCTTGGTTCCTTACTACATGGGCCTCTTTATAGAGTTTCTTATAACATGGCAGCATGCTTCATCAGGGAGAGCTAGAGGGTAAGAGAGAGCACTTACCCTCTTTTGTGGTCTTTTGTAACCTAATCACACAAGAGATAGCCCTTCACTTTTGCCAAATTTAGTTTTTTATTTTTTATTTTATTTTTTTAATGTTTATTTATTTTTGAGAGAGACAGATAGAATGTGAGTGGGTTAGGGGCAGAGAGAGAGGGAGACACAGAATCCGAAGCAGGCCCCAGGCTCTGAGCTGTCAGCACAGAACCCGACACAGGGCTCGAACTCACAAGCTGTGAGATCATGACCTGAGTTGAAGTCGGTCGCTCAACCCACTGAGCCACCCAGGCGCCCCTGCTTCTTTATTTTTTTATGTTTATTTATTTTTGAGAGAGTGCAAGAGCGGGTGCACATGTAAGTAGGGGAGAGGCAGGGGAGAGCATCCCAAGCAGCCCCAACTTGGGGCTAGATCTCAAGAACCATGAGATCATGACCTGAGCTGAAATCAAGAGTCAGGCACTTAACCTACTGAGCTACCCAGGAACCCTGCCATATTTGCTTCTTTGGAAGCAAGTGCTAAGTTCAGCTCTTACTCAAGGGGGGAGATTAACAAGGCTGTGGATACCAACAGTTGGGGATTATTGGGAGCCCTGTCAGAAGCTGCTTTTCACAAAGGTTTGTGATCCAAAAAGATTAGAGTTCTGAAGCTAGACTTTATACTATACAATCACTCTGGATTTTCAGGGTTGTTTGTCTCATTTGTGATTAAATCCTTCCATGTTTCCTTCCTTATAATTGAATTTAAGCTATTTTATTCTTCATGACACTTCCATTGTTAGTGGAACTCAAAGGTAAGTGAACAACTAATTTTAACATTTAAAAATAGTCTAATACAATTATGTATAAAGCTCTGATGTAAAAAGAGTAAAATTAAGTCCTTCAATAATTGTAGTGTATTACCATTAGCCATACTGTTTGTCCCTTTCAGCCCAGGCAATGCATACAGTTCTAGGCTTGCACGTTGAAGGTGCTAAATAATTGCTTGTGGAATAAGCAAATTTACTTTCTCAGGAGAATAGGTGGCAAGAATAAAGAAAGGAGCCTTTAGGAAACTATCATCTGTGACCAGGGTATATAGATGAATACCAGAGGAAAATAGATGATAAAGTCCCTCTGTGACTATCTTTACATATACTTCATTGTTTTTGCCCACGGTGGAAAGTCCTTTCCAGCATTTCTTTGACTACCCATTGCCCGAGTATCTGCAAAATCAGAAACACGAGTGTGCTACAAAAAGTGACTGTTTTGGGGAATATCTGGGAATCTCCTCCCACTAAAACTACTAAATACAATTCAAATTCTTTTGCATGTTTTAGGCTCAAATTTGTCTTTCATCTCTGAAGTCCATGTTATAAAGAAATTCCCCTTATTTTATGATATATATTTTAAAAGTGATTTTACTGTACAGTTTTCTGTTACCCGATACACCAAAATCATTGAAAGGCTTTGAATTGTGTTACAAATGTGCTGTGAAAAGCTTGAGGGCTTATCTTCTGAAGACTAGGACATAGTTTCTATACTAGTTTTGATACTTCGCTGGATTTTTTCATCCTTGGAGAATAACATCTCTGGTTATTATTCTTGTCACTCAGGTAATAATTTCTGCATAAATAGGGGTGCCTGGGTGGCTCAGTCGGTTAAGGTCATGATCTCACGGTTCATGGGTTTGAGCCCCATCTCGGCCTCTGTGCTGACAACTTAGAGCCTGGAGCCTGCTTCGGATTCTGTGTCTCCTTCTCTCTCTCTCTGCCCCTTCCCTGCTTTTGCTCTGTCTCTCAAAAGTAAATAAACATTGAAAAAAGTTAAGAAAAAATTTCTGCATAAATAGGTGATTTGGGAGATTCATTTAAGATGGAGTTTCTATAGATACAGTGAGTAAACCAGTTGAAGAAATGTTAACAGTAGTTCATAAGTTTAGTAGAATTTCAAAAATACAGTAGAATTAGGTGAAAATGGTCTATGAAATTTTCCTAGTGGCATTTACCATTTGGACTATAGTATAATCTTCATTTTTTCCCCCTTTTTTGATATCATCCTTTAAGCTTTCCCCTTCTCACATTCTGACTTGGCTATAATATGAAATTGAGCTTTTATTTTTAAAAAAGCTTGGTTTACAGGGGCACTTGTGTGGCTCAGTTGGTTAAGCATCTGAGTCTTGCTTTCAGCTCAGGTCATGATCTCATGGTCGTGAGATCAAACCCTGCATTGGACGCTGTGATGAGCAAGGAGTCTGCCCCTCTTTCTGCCCCTCCCCTGTTCATGCACATGTATGTGCTCTCTCTCCCCCTCTCTTTCTCTCTGCCTCTCTCTCCCCCTCTCTTTCTCTCTGCCTCTCCCTCCCTCTCTCTCCCTTCCTCCCTCCTTCCTCCCCCCTCTCAAAAAAGCTTGGTTTACAAACCATATAAAGTTTGCTTCCCTCATTTCAAAGTTTCAAAAAGTAAATTTGTTATTTTACATTCTTCAAGGGATGAGGATTTTAAAATGCCCATTTGATTTAGTGACATTGGAAAGTATTGGTATCTTGAACAAGAGCTATTTTTCTGGGATTTGGGAGGTGGGGGAATCACAAGCCAGATGAGATAGGGTGAAGGCATAGATATAGGAAGTGTGTTTACCTCTCTAAGAAATGTGGCTTTGAAAGGAACAAGAGTGATCTAGTAGTAGCTGAAGGAGGATAAGATTTTGAGGAAGTTTCTTTTTGTTTGTTTTGTATTATTTGGGAATAGGAGCAACTTGAGTATTTTTTAAGTGAATTGGAAGGATCTGATTTGAGAGGGAGCAGTTGAATATACCACACATAAACATACATGCATATACTTCATATATACATGTCCATGAAACACAGATACATAAATATGCAAAAAAATGGTATCACTACGATCTTACAAACTGATTTTTCAAATTTATAGAAGAGTTAGAAGAATTGTACAAGGAATACCCACTACCTAGATTCTGTTAATGTGTCATTATACCTGGCTTATCACTTAATCTGTCCATCCATCAAGGCATGTTTTGTTGCATTTTAAAGCAGCAGACATTAGTATATCCTAGCCCCAAACACTTGAGCATACATGTCATTAGCTAGTCAGTATTTATTTACAATTCTTTTTTTTCATTTTGAAGTACAATTTATAATGAAATGCACAAATTTTAGTGTACCCACCCTTCAATGAGTTTTGGCCAATATGTATTTCTGCATAAGCCAAATAAACCCTTTCAAGATATAGAATTTTATCATCACTCCAGAAAAGGTTATTCTGTTTCTTGCTGGTCTTCCCAACACTCCTAAGAGGCAATCACTGTTCTGCTTTTTTGTCATAGATTAGTTTTGCTTTTTCATATAAATAGGATCATACATGTGCACTCTTGTGTAAGGCTTCTTTTACTTAACATAGTATTTGAGACCCATCCATGTTATTGAGTACATAAATAGTTTGTTTCTTTTTATTGCTGAGTGGTATTCCATTGTATAGATACTGCATTTTGTTTATCCATCCTCCCGCTGGCTGACGGACATCTGAGCTATTTCTGGTTTTTAGTTGTTATGAAGAAAACTGCTAAGAACTTTCTTGAACAATCTTTTGTGTATTCATTTCTCTTGAGTAAATAATTATGGATGGAATTACTTGGTCAAAAACTGATGTGTGCTTAGTTTT